CCGGTGCACTCCACACCTCCCACGCCGCACCTCTCGCCATGCTGCTCGCTCCCACGCTCGTGTGGTGTGCTACCCACTCCCCACGGTAAGGCATCTTTCGTATTGCACCTCATCTGCCACGTAGGACCCACACCATGCCATGCCACGCCATGTATTGCCTGCTGTTAAAGCAGGGCACCTAATTGCTTTCGTCACCCACTCCCCTCACCTGTGTCATTCACCTGTGTCATTCCCACACATACCTCCAGCTGGCACCTTGCAATAGCCACGTTGGCACTGTCAGCATCAGCCATCTCAGCCACGTCAGCAGGGCTGGGCCCCTTTCAACACGCAGTTCCTTCAGAGGCTGCGCTGCAGGTGATTGGCTAGAGGCTGAACTGCAGATGATTGGCTAAAAGGCTGAACTGCAGGTGATTGGCTAGAGGCTGAACTGCAGATGATTGGCTAAAAGGCTGAACTGCAGGTGATTGGCTAGAGGCTGAACTGCAGATGATTGGCTAAAAGGCTGAACTGCAGGTGATTGGCTAGAGGCTGAACTGCAGATGATTGGCTAAAAGGCTGAACTGCAGGTGATTGGCTAGAGGCTGAACTGCAGATGATTGGCTAAAAGGCTGAACTGCAGATGATTGGCTAGAGGCTGTGCTACAGGTGATTGGCTAGAGGCTGTGCTACAGGTGATTGGCTAGAGGCTGTGCTACAGGTGATTGGCTAGAGGCTGTCCTACAGGTGATTGGCTAGAGGCTGTGCTACAGGTGATTGGATGGGGGAAAAGAGGTTTAGAAGAGGGTGTGCGTTGGTGAGAGGCTGCTCTTGGTTCGTGGCACACCTCATGTCAGCACCACCTCGTGTCAGCCTCTTTCAAGAACACTGTACACGAGCCATCCAGTTTGCCCATAGGTCTGGCACGCGCCAAGAGCGTTCCCTCAGATTGCACTCTGCGCTGCCCTCAGTTGTACCTTCCCCACGTGCCCCTGTTGTCATCCCATCCCGACCCCAGCTCCAGCTCTTCCTGCTCGCACTCCTCCTGCTGGCGCACCTGCTCTCGCCCCTCGCCACCTCCCTGCGCCTGCCATGCACCCTCTGCCACGCCACTGCCAGGTCAGTCTTCACCCAAAGCCTTTCACGTGCGCGCCCTTCAGCCCGGCATGAGCCTCTGATGCGCTCACCTATCACTTGCCAGATCACCTCTCAGCCTCTCCCCCTACCAGTTCGCCTCATTCTGCCCGTGTCTTAATTTCTCACGCCTTCCCCACTCAGCCACACTCTGCTGCCTCCCTTCTGCCCGTCGTCCTCCTGCCCTGTCCCTCAGTGCTGCAGCTGCAGCAGCAGCAGCGCACACGCAGCAGCTGGCAGTGCTGCAGGCGGAGGTGCGGTGCGGGCGCGAGGCAGTGCGGGCGGCAGGGGAGGGGATGCGGGCGGCGGGGGAGGCGAAGGTGCAGTTCATGGCGAACATGAGCCACGAGATCCGCACGCCCCTCCACGCCATCCTCGCCATGACCGACCTCGCCCTCGACCACCCCCTCCCCCCCGACGCCCGCGACCACCTCGACACCGTGCTGCAGTCCGCCAACCACCTGGTAACGTGCTGCAGTCCGCCAACCACCTGGTAACGTGCTGCAGTCTGCCAACCACCTGGTAACGTGCTGCAGTCCGCCAACCACCTGGTAACGTGCTGCAGTCCGCCAACCACCTGGTAACGTGCTGCAGTCCGCCAACCACCTGGTAACGTGCTGCAGTCCGCCAACCACCTGGTAACGTCCTGCAGTCCGCCAACTACCTGGTAACGTGCTGCAGTCCGCCAACCACCTGGTAACGTGCTGCAGTCCGCCAACCACCTGGTAACGTGCTGCAGTCCGCCAACCACCTGGTAACGTGTTGCAGTCCGCCAACTACCTGGTAACGTGCTGCAGTCCGCCAACCACCTGGTAACGTGCTGCAGTCCGCCAACCACCTGGTAACGTCCTGCAGTCCGCCAACTACCTGGTAACGTGCTGCAGTCCGCCAACCACCTGGTAACGTGCTGCAGTCCGCCAACTACCTGGTAACGTGCTGCAGTCCGCCAACCACCTGGTAACGTGCTGCAGTCCGCCAACCACCTGGTAACGTGCTGCAGTCCGCCAACCACCTGGTAACGTGCTGCAGTCCGCCTACCACCTGGTAACGTGCTCCAGTCCGCCAGCCACATGGCAGTGCCTCCTGCTTATCCCCTCCACTCATGGCCCCTCTCACGCCTCTCCACTCGCCTCCCCACTGGCCTCGCATGTCGCACATCTGTCGTGCACCGCCCTAGATCGTTTCACAGCCCTAGATCGTTTCACAGCCCTTGTCTCAACCACCGCATGCTGCTCTTCTCATCACTGCCAATCCGCCCTCCTGCCCTCACACCTCCCCCCTGCGTTCCCCCTGCGCCCCCCTTGGTGTGGCAGCTGGTGCTGGTGGACGACATCCTGGACATCACGAAGCTGGAGGCGGGCCGCCTACAGCTGGACGCGGACCAGTTTGACGTGCGCGCCCTCATCAACCGCATCATGACGATGCTGGCCGCCCGCGCCGCCTCAAGGGCCTGGCCTTCCAGTGGGAGGTGGATGCTGCTGTGCCGCCCGTGCTGCTGGGGGATGCCATGCGCCTCAGACAGTGCCTGGTATGCCTAGTCCCACAGCGGCAGTGCCGGGTATGATTCGCATGCGCTTGGGGAGGGGCTTCTCACTCTCCACCCGTGTGTGGCACGGCCAGCAAGGGCCACCGCGGTAGGGATGGGATTGCACACGTGGGGGAGGGCAGGAGAGTCCATGCTGTGCTGCGCTGAGTGCATGGTGGCCTGCATGCATGTGTGTATGGCTAAAAGCATGGTGTGCCCCCACTTACATATTGCTACTCGCTGCCTTACCCCCTCCCCCTCCCCCCCCTCCCGCGAGCAGGTGAACGTGGTAGGCAACGCCATCAAGTTCACGGAGCGCGGTGAGGTGCGCGTCACCGTGCAGCCCTTCGCCCCGCACCTCCTCCCGCCCAACATGGCCCTCATGCACCTCCCACCCGCCCACTCCCCTTCCTCCCCTTCCTCCACATTTCCTGCTCAAGCCGCCTCTCCGCCACACCATTCTCCCACCACCACCACCACCAACCCCGCCACCCTCTCCTCTGCCACCTCTTCTCCTGCCACGGACCTTCCCCCTCGCCCTCCGCCTCTGCCGCCCCCAACGGCCTGTATGGTGCACGTGGCGGTGGGAGTGGGCCAGAGGGCGCAGCAGTGCGAGGGGGGGTCGGAGTGGCGCTGCTGTTCACCGTGCGAGACACAGGCGCGGGTGAGTGCATGCGGCCCGCAATACCCGCACAGGCCAACTCGTGTGTTGGTCACCCGTGTACGGCTCTCTCTCTCTCCACACACGCTTCCCCTCATTCCCTCCGCATGCCCTGCCGCCTCACTCCCGTGTCACCACGCGCTCTCCCCCTGTGTGTGCTGTGCGGTGTGTGCTGTGTGCTGTGCGCTGTGCGCTGTGTGCTGTGTGCTGTATGCTGTGCGCTGTGTGCTGTGCGCTGTGCGCTGTGTGCTGTGTGCCGTGCGCTGTGTGATGTTCTCTGTGTGCTGCGTGCTGTGCGCTGTGTGATGTGCTCTGTGTGCTGTGTGCTGTGCGCTGTGTGCTGTCTGTCGCTGTGTCTGTGTGCTTTGCACTGTGTGCTGTGTGCTGTGTGGCTGTGCGCTGTGTGCTGTGTGCTGTGTGCTGGGTGCTGCGTGCTGCATGGCGCCAGGCATTGCGGAGGGGCAGCAGCGGCGCATATTCCAGTCGTTTGAGCAGGCCGACTCCTCCATGTCGCGCCAGCACGGCGGCACGGGGCTCGGCCTCTCCATCACCTCCAGGTGCACCATCACCTCCAGGTGCACCTTTACCTCCAGGTGTGCCTTTACCTCCAGGTGCGCCTTCACCTCCAGGTGCGCCATCACCTCCAGGTGTGCCTTCACCTCCAGCTGTACCTTCACCTCCAGGTGCGCCTTCACCTCCAGGTGCGCCTTCACCTCCAGGTGCGCCTTCACCTCCAGGTGTGCCGTCACCTCCAGGTGTGCCTTCACCTCCAGGTAGAGATGGGTATATCGCATCGCATCATTTTTTATCATATTTTGCGATTGCGATTTTTATTTCTATTTTTAAATAAACGATCGCAGCGTCGGATGCGATTTAATCGCGCGATTTTTTTAATATCGCGCTTATATCGCGCATTTTTTAGCGCGATATAGTGCGATATGCGATTTGGAAAAAGCGCGCGCGTGAAATTGGCAGATTTGGGGGGGGTGGAGGGAGGGGACGAAGCCCAAATAGGGCTGCAACCCATTCTCTTTGGGAGAACCCCCACCCCAACACATTCCCACCTACGTGACCGCAAACGCGTTTAGCGTTTTAAACGAAGCGTTTAAACGCTAGCGTTTAAACGCTAAACGCGCCTTCTTGGGTTTCTAAACGCTAGGGTAAACGCTCGTTCGGGCAGCCGTAAAATTTCCCCCGGGCAGGGGAAAAAACCTGGGATCGGTGGGGGGAGGCAAGGGGATTATGGTATACAACATATTTACTCCAATATCGTGATTAGACTCTGGCTCGTAAATATTAGATGCTGCAGACGCTGTAGGATTAGCGTCTGCAGCATTAGGGGGGGTCGACATGGGCGTGGGCCCTTATCTTAGCGCGAAATTAGGTGGCCAGGGTGGGAGGTGAGAGAATAGCGACTGGATCTGAGCTACGGCTATGGCGCGCGGAACTCTAGGGTAGACATGAGCAATGAGGCGAGGATTTCCTCGCCTCGGAAGTCCTCGCCTCGAAATTCCGGGGGTCGAGGCAGGTTTTCTGGGAAAAATCCTCGCGAGGATTCCTCGCCCCGCCTCGGCGAGGATTCGAGGCCTCGATTTTTCCTCGAGGCAAATGGGCGAGGATGTTCCCATTACCCCTCTCCCCCTAACCCCCAGCCGCCCAGGTCAAGGAATCCTCGCCCCGGGTCAAGGAATTAATCCTCGAGGCGAGGATTTCAATCCTCGACCCCAAAACCCGGGGGTCGAGGGGGGATTTTCATGAAAAATCCTCGGCGAGGATTCCTCGACCCGCCTCGGCTAGGGCGCGAGGATGAGATCCTCGAGTCAAGGAATCCTCGCCTCGCCCCGTGCTCATGTCTACTCTAGGGTTCCCATTTTTGACGGGGAAGAGATTGTGACGGAAGGAGGGGAGAAAGTGGTTAGGTTAGGTTGGAGTGAAAGTCGTTGATGAACAGGGTGCTGTGCGGTTGAGAGGGGCAAAAGGTTGGATGCCTTTTTTGGTCGTTAGTTTGGGATTTGCGACTTGGCAAATGTCTGGTTGAACTCGCCAAGTCGCAATGTCACGGAAAAAAATTGATCGAATTTTTGGCCGGGCTGCCCCTAAAATTTGCCCGAGTGTTTAGCGTTTACGCGAGCGTTTTGCGTTTAGCGTTTAAACGCAGCGTTTAAACGCTAAACGCTGCCCTGCCAGAGCGTTTGCGGTCACATAGATTCCCACCTCATTTCCCACCTCCCCACTCCCATTCCCAACCTAGCCTGCAAGCACAAAATGCAAACCCTTGGAACTCCTTAGCCACCTAGCCACACCTCCACACCACTTCCCCCTCTCCTAAGCAAGCATAGAAGCACCAATTTCATACCCTTGCTGAGGTACCTCCCTTAACTACCTAGCCACAAATCCACACCCCCATTCCTAAGCTAGCATACGAGCACATGTTTCCTCGCCATCATTTAGGGGTTTAGCGCACCTCCTAGGGTTTCGTGATCGCCCGATAATTTAGCCCTGGCGATGCGATATTTTATCGCATCACGCGATATATTGCACTCTACAGTGCGATATTTTTAAATGTCGCACCCTAAAACGCGATATGCGATTTCGGTAAAAAAAAAACATATCGCATCGCTGCAATATAATGCGCGATAAGACAGAATGCGATGCGATATCGCATCGCATCGCATTTTTGATCATGCCTACCTCCAGGTGCGCCTTCACCTCCACGTCGCATCGCATCGCATTTTGATAATGTCTACCTCCAGGTGCCGCCTTCACCTCCAGGTTCGCCTTCACCTCCAGGTGCCCCTTCACCTCCAGGTGTGCCTTCACCTCCAGGTGTGCCTTCACCTCTAGGTGTGCCTTCATCTCCAGGTGTGCCTTCACCTCTAGGTGCGCCTTCACCCACATGCCGCCCGCTCACTCTCTCCGCCACTCCTTGACATCTGCCTCTGTGTGGCCCCCCATCTCCAGGCTCGTTCACATGATGGGCGGCAGCATTTGGCTGCACTCGTGTCTTGGCACCGGCAGCACTTTTGCCTTCTCGGCCACCTTTGCTGCTTCCTCCCTCGCCCCCTGCTCCCCCCGCCATGCGGCCCTCCTCCCCCCCGCCGCACGGTGAGTGCGGAGGAGCTCGACCGCCGCCTCGCCCTCGACGCCCTCTCGCTGTCGCTCCTTCCCTCCCTCCCCACCGCTCCTCCTCCCGCTCCCTGGCGCCCGCCCTCTCCCCCTCCTCCGCCACCTGCCCTGCCCCCTCGCTCACGGCCCGCCTGCCTGCTGCTGAGCGCAAGGGGTGGGGCGAGGAAAGGCGGGCAGAAGGCGGCTTGGATGCAGCAGCAGGTGTGGCGGGGGAGCAAGCAGCAGGAGTGCGGGAAGGAAAGGCAGAGGTCTCAGGAGGCGAGAGCAGAGGCATGTATGCGAGGGCTGTCACAGCAGGGGTTGGAGGTGGTAGGGGTAGGGTGCAGCAGTTGAGGGGCGGTGAGAGCAGGGCTGGGCGCAGCAGGCGGCGAACACAGAGCTTCACATGTGGGGATGCGGCCACAGGGCGCATGCTGGACGACGTGCTGCTGCGCGCGCGTGAGGAGCAGCAAGCAATTGAGGAGCAGCACGCTCGCCAGGAGCACCAGGCAGCCAAGCTGCCTCCCGCCAGGCTGACTGCTACTGCTTCCCACACTCAGGGCGCCCCTGCCCCTGCCCAGGAGCAGGAACAGCAGCAGCTGCAGCTAGCATCGTCTGGATTGGAACGAAGTAGCAGTGAGGGGTTTACAATGCGGCGGCGGCCTCTGCTTGTGGTTCGAGGGAGGACTCGGTCCATGGAGTGTGGTGGGGCAGGGGAGAGCAGGGAGTGGGGCAGTGTGGGCGCGGAGGACATTGTGAGCGTGCAGATGAGAGGCAGGGAGGCTACTGGCAGAGGCTCAGGTGGCGCCACCGCCAGTGAGAGCAGTGGTGGCGACGAGGGCAGGCCGCCCGGCAGCAGTCCTCGGCATGTGCCGCCCCGCCTCAAGTCGTGGGGTCCCGGCAGTGGCAGTGGCAGTGGCAGTGGCAGTGGCAGTGGCAGTGGCAGTGGCAGTGGCAGTGGAGTGCGCATGGCAGGCAGTCCGCACACAGGGGCGGGTGCCAGGGGCATAGGGGCCAGAAGCGTTAGCAGCAGAGCAGCAGCCAGCGGGTCCAGCAGCCCTCATGCACACGCCGGTGCTAGTGGTGGTGGTGGGGCCGATAGCGCTGCCCGCGTGGTGCCTGGTGGGGCGGAGGCAGGAGTGGCAAAGCTGAGCCGGGTGGTGGAGAGGGAGGACGAGGGGGGGAGCGAGGAGGACGGCCCGGGGGGCAGGTCAGGGCAGCGCAGGAGGAGAGAGAGGCGAGCACAGGTAGGTGGTGCTGGGCGCCTGGCAGCAATGGAGGGCAGTGCGCAGGAGCAGCGGGGGGCTGGTGTGGGCACGGAAGGGTGGCAGGGCGGTGGGCAGGCTGTGGGGATGCAAAGGGGAGATGAGGGGCTGCAGAAGGGGTTGGGTGCATCTCAGGAGGAAGGAGGCGAGGTGGGATGGAGAGGCAAGCATGTATGGCGGGCCCCTCCCTTGTCGGTGGATGTGAGTGGGTGTGGGGAAGAGGCAGCAGCTGGGGTGGGCAGCAGCAGCAGGTTTGACGAGTCACTGCCTGCGCCTGGGACGCACAATGACAAGTCGGATGCCTCGCCACCAGCGTTAGGCAGTGCCGGCCACGCCCACGGTGAGCCACCCACCTGTGGCCGTGCCAGTGCCTCCCCTATGCACCCACCCATCCCTGCAGCAGCTGCGGCATCACGGCCCAGGGCAGACTCGTCTGTGGCGTTGGGTCGGCAGCGTCAGCTGAATGCTCGACAGCTCACTTTCCAGCTGCCCGAGGACGCCTCCCCCGACCACACGCCCTCCACGCCTACCTTTGTCCCTCGTAGAGCGTCTCAGGGGCCTCCTGCTGCCTCCACTCTTGCCTCCTCCACCCCTCCCTCCTCCGCGCTGCCCCCCCTGTCCCCCCGCCCCTGCTCCCGGGCACCTCCCTGTGTGCGCTGCCCGAGCCCAGCACCATGGAGCCGAGCACCATGGACGCCATATATGCGCGCATCCAAGCAGCTGCTGCCGCCCAGCGCTCCCTCGCCCCCGCTCGCTCGCCCCGCACTGGCGCTTCTGCAGGCGCCGTGAGTCGCAGCTTCTCGCGCAGTAGGGAGCCTCCCCCCTTGGACGTGCCGACCACGCCGCTGTCGTCCTCGGCTCGGCGCACTGGCGGGGGCCTGACTCGGCAGAAGTCAGGCGGGCTGGCGCTGCTGCAGCGCCAGGGCACGGGGCTGGCCCGCCAGGGCACGGGGTTGGGGCGGCAGATGAGCATGAAGCTGAAGCAGAAGGTGCGCGCCGCCAGCCCGCGGGCGCTGCTGTCGTCGACGGCGCTGAACATCCTGCTGGCAGATGACAGCGTGGTGAACCAGAAGGTGGCGGTGCGCTTCCTCAAGAAGAAGGGGATGGTGGCCGACGCCGTGGGCGACGGCGCTCAGGCCATCCAGCGACTCTACCCCAAAGACGGCGGCATCACGCCCTACGACCTGCTGCTGCTGGACGTGCAGGTAGGCTGCTGGACGTGCAGGTAGGCTGCTGCACGTGCAGGTATTGCAGAAGTAAGTAAAATTGTGCACTGTCTCATTGAAGTACAAGGTATCAGACTATACTTTCTTGGCATGTACACATGCAGATTTGCATGCATCTGTTTGTGTGGGGGGTGGGGGGAGGGGGGCGGGTTTGCCTGGTTGCGCCTCTCCCGCCTTGTACAGATGCCGGTGATGGACGGTCTTCAGACAGTGCGAGTCATCCGCGAGAAGGAAATGGCAGAGAAGCTGCCCCATCTTCCAGTCATTGGTGCGCTGTTCCATGGACTCTGGTGCATCCCTTGTCGATTTCTTCCATTTTGACCCTTGTGCAGCCCATCTGCACCACAATTCACCCCGTACAGCCCGTCTGACACACAATGCACCCCCATCAGACTAGCAAACATGTTTCTAGTCCTCCCCAACCTGATAGCATCATCCCAGGTAAGAAGCTGCTGCATGACAGAGCACGGTCTCTCTTGCTCCTCTCTGGCTGCCCTGGCCCCTGCGTGTCCGAGCAGGCCTGACAGCCCATGCAGCTGACGTGTACCGCGACCAGTGCATATCCGCAGGCATGGACGGCTTCGTCTCCAAGGTACGTTCACCCGCCTCCAGCGCTCTCTGCTCTCCCCTCCCCCCACCCCTCCCTCGCTATCTTTTTATGCATTGGTGCTCTTACAGGCAGAGAATATATATACTTTTTTGCGCAAAAATAGAGCCATCCCTTGCCCACTCTCTCCCCCCTCTCCACACACCCCACCGTTCCACCTCACCCTCCCGACACGAAAGCATATGCATTGCAGTTGTGTTACTCAGCCATTTACGGTAGCAGGTATAGTTTAAAACGGTTCTTCTAGGTGACTCCATTGATTCCATTCCATTCTCCGTTCCCTTCCCCTCCAGCCGTTCACTGTGAATCAGCTGCTGAGCATGATGCAGTCGGTGCTTGAAAAATACTCGTATAAACGACTCCCACCTGAAGCTATGGCATCATAGTTGAAATGCAACACGTTTACTGTACCTTTACAAAGAGTAATTTATTGCAGCTGATCAGTCCTGTATGTATCAGAGAAACAACAGCTCATATGGTGTTTTCAGGAAGTTGAATGTGCACCCTTGCATTGTTGGAAACACACTACGATTCGTGAGTCTCATCGTGGTGTAGCAGCCGAAGAAGCTGCGGCTGTTCTGGAAGAATCTCTAGGACTGACTGCAATTTGCGGAGCGGAGTGTCAAACATGTGTATTTGTCATGTTTGTATAGACTGTATAGAGTCACCTCTTAGAGGATACAGAACTTAGATATATTTGTGTGTACTCTCACTTTACCATTATTCAATTTTTCTGACATGGTATCACGCGTAGGTAGGATCCCCCCCCCCCACCTACCGCTTCCGCTCATGCCCCCTAGCGCCCCTCCTGGGCCCCGTCGCGCTCCTCCCAGGCCCCGTCGCGCTCCTCCCAGGCCCCCTAGCGCCCCTCCTGGGCCCCATCGCGCTCCTCCCAGGCCCCGTAGCGCCCCTCCTGGGCTTCGTAGCGCCCCTGCCAGGCCCCGTCGCGCCCCTCCTGGGCTTCGTAGCGCCCCTGCCAGGCCCCGTCGCGCCCCTCCCAGGCCCCGTCGCACTCCTCCCAGGCCCACTAGCGCCCCTCCTGGGCCCCGTCGCGCTCCTCCCAGGTCCCGTAGCGCCCCGTCGCGCCCCTCCTGGGCCCCGTAGCGCCCCTCCTGGGCCTCGTCGCGCCCCTCCTGGGCTTCGTAGCGCCCCTCCTGGGCCCTGTACCGCCCTCCCAGGCCCCGTCGCGCCCCTCCCAGGCCCCGTCGCTCCCCTCCCAGTCCCTCTAGCGCCCCTCCTGGGCCCCGTCGCGCTCCTCCCAGGCCCCGTAGCGCCCCGTCGCGCCCCTCCTGGGCCCCGTAGCGCCCCTCCCAGGCCCCGTCGCGCTCCTCCCAGGCCCCCTAGCGCCCCTCCTGGGCCCCGTCGCGCTCCTCCCAGGCCTCGTAGCGCCCCTCCTGGGCTCTTTCGCGCCCCTCCTGGGCTCCGTAGCGCCCCTCCTGGGCCCCGTCGCGCCCCTCCTGGGCCCCGTAGCGCCCCTCCTGGGCCCCGTCGCGCCCTCCTTGGGCCCTGTAGCGCCCCTCCTGGGCCCCGTCGCGCCCCTCCCAGGCCCCGTCGCGCCCCTCCCAGGCCCCGTAGCGCCCCTCCTGGGCCTCGTCGCGCCCCTCCTGGGCTTCGTAGCGCCTCTCCTGGGCCCCCCGTCGTGCCCCTCCTGGGCCCCGTAGCGACCCTCCTCGGCCGCGTCGTACCCGTCGCCGCCGCCCGGCCCCGTCGTGCCCGCCCGGCGCCGTCGCGCCCGCCCGACCCCGTCGCCGCCGCCCGGCCCCGTCGCGCCCGCCCGCCGCCGTCGCCGCCGCCCGGCCCCGTCGCGCCCGCCCGGCGCCGTCGCCGCCGCCCGGCCCCGTCGCGCCCGCCCGGCGCCGTCGCACCCTGCCTGGCCCGTCGCGCTCGCCCGGCCCCGTCGCAGCCGCCCGGCCCCGTCGCACCCGCCCGGCCCCGTCGCACCCTGCCCGGCCCCGTCACAGCCGCCCGGCCCCGTCGCACCAGCCCGGCCGCCGTCCCGCTCGCCCGGCCCCGTCGCACCGGCCCGGCCCTGCCGCACTCGCCCGGCCCCGTCGCCCCAGCCCGGCCCCGTCGCGCCCGCTCGGCCCCGTCGCCCCGTCCCGGCCCTGTCGCATCAGCCCGGCCCCGTCGCGCCCGCCCGGCCCCGTCGGGCCAGCCCCGGCCCCGTCCTCCTCACTGGTACGGTCCCCCCCCCCCCCCCCCCCCCCCACCCCGCCCTGCTCCGTGCCGCCCTGCACCGCACTGTACCGCACTGCACCGCACTGTACCGCACAGTACCGCACTGCACCGCACTGCACCGCACTGTATCGCACTGCACCGCACCCCACCTAGCTGCACCGCCCTGCACAGCACTGGACTGTTCCTGATGGCGGCGGAGCTTCGCTTCGACGCTGAAGGTCAGCCCCTAGAGTTCGAGGCGTGGCTTGCCGACCTCCGCCGCCAACTCACTGGCCAGCGGCAGGATGGTGAACCGCTTTCCGCACACCTTGACGGTACGCTCCCCTGCCCAGACCCTCCTGCTATTCTGCCCGCTGACCCCACACCCACTGAGCGTGAGTCTACTGCTGCCACTGCCCGTGCGCGCTCTGTCTGGCTTTCTCGCGATGCAGTCGCCCAGCTTGCCATTAGCAACGCCCTCCCCCCGTCCGAGCGTCCTCGCTTTAGGTCCCTCACTACTGCTCAGGCATACTTAGATGCTGTCATCAAGCGCTATTCCACCCCTCCGGCTGCCTCGGTGGGTCGCCTGATCCTCCCGCTGCTCTTTCCTGACCTTGCTTCGTTCCCCACTGTCTCTGACCTCGCTGCCCACCTGCGCTCGATAGAGGAGACCTGGCGCGCCGCATGCACTGACGCACAGCTTAGAGCCCACCAGCCGCCCATTACCTCTACCCTCTACCTGCTTGCCACCCGCCTCCCTGACCGCCTTGCTGTCGCCCGCGACCGCTTCCTTAGTGTTCACCCCGCAGACCTCACCCTCACTGACTTTGTCGACACCCTGACTGTGATAGAGACCCGTCACCGCTCCATCGCCCAGGCGAGCGGTGTCGTGCCGGTCCCTATCTTTCAGGGTTGTGCCCCCGCTCAGTGTACCTTCTCCGACGGCTCTGCCGCAGTGGCTGAGACTGCTGCTGCAGCGCAGGCCCGTTCTGGGAAGGGCCGCCGCCCCAAGGCTGGGCGCGGCGGAGGGGGCGGCGGGGGTGCGGGCGGGGGTAGTGGTGGGGTCGGGTCGCCTGGTGCTGGAGCGGACGAGGGGACCCTGCCCAGTCCAGCTGAGTCGCCGCCCCTGCAGTTGCAGCAGCCGCAGCAGCCGCCGCAGTCGCAGCCTTCGCAGCAGCCGCAGCAGCCGTCGCAGACGCGGCAGACGAGTGTTCTCCCGCCAGGGTGGCCCGGCGCTGGCGGTGGACGGGCGCGTGGTGGTGTGCCGCGTGGTGGCTCTGCCGGCGGGCGTTGTCAGTACCAGATCCAGACCGGTCCTCGCCGCGGTTTCGTTTGCGGTAAGATCGGTCACTCCACTCCCCGCTGCTTTCGTCGCCTGGACGACCTCTTTCGTCAGCGTTTCGGCCCGTCGCCAGACCTCCCGGACTGGCACAGTTTGCTTAGTCGTCAGATTCAGATCTTTGATATGGACATGGATGCCATTGTTTCTGCTCTGCATGTGATGTATGCTGATGACTCTAGTGTGCTTCCGACTTATTACTCACTGTTGCCTAGTGTAGGTGTGCCTAGCTTAGCCTCCCCTGCTGCGTCAGGCGTAGGATCCCCTGCTTTGTGTAGTCTTGGTGCTTCTGCCGTCGTTCCGTCGCCAGACCCCTCGGCTTCGCTTTCCTTCACCTTGGACTCTGGCGCCTCTCGGTGTTTCTTCCGCGACTCCACCACCCTGACGCCGCTTCCTGTTCCTGCTGCCGTTTCTCTTGCTGACCCCTCCGGCGGCCCGGTAGTCGCCCGCAGTTCCACCACCCTTCCCTGTCCGGCGGTTCCTTCGGGCTCTCTTACAGGTCTGCATATCCCCTCGTTCGCCAGGAACCTAGTTGGTGTCGGCTGCCTCCAGGACCTTGGCGTCACCACTACGTTCCCTGGTCACGAGCGGTATGCTGTCTGTACCGAGGCCGCCACTGGTGCCCCCCTGTCCACGTTCCCCCGGGACCCGGTGTCCGGCCTGTTCACTCTGGACACCGTGCCCCCCCCGGCTGGAGCGCCCCCTCAGGTGGCTGTGTCTACCCAGGTTGCTGCTGCCTGCTCCTGTCGCTCCCTCACTCACCCGACCCTCCTGTGGCACCACCGCCTAGGTCACCCTGCGCTCCCGCGTCTGCGTCACATGTCCCAGCACGGTCTTGTCCTTGGTCTCCCAGGTTCACTCCCCGCGTTTCCCTCCTCCCCAGCTCCACCTTGCACGCCTTGTGTCGAGGGTCGGCTTCGCCGTGCCCCTCACTCCTCCTCGTTCCCCCCTACCGCCGCGCCGCTGCAGACCCTGCACCTGGACGTCTGGGGCCCCGCCCCCGTCCCTGGGCCGCGTCGCGAGCGCTACTTCCTTGTGCTTGTCGACGACTTCACTCGTTACACCACAGTCTTTCCCCTGGAGCGCAAGGCCGACGTGCCTGGCGCCCTCATCCCCTGGCTTGTCTCTGCGCGTGTCCACCGCGGTCTCCCTGTCTTGCGTCTTCACTCAGACCGTGGTGGCGAGTTTGCCTCAGGTGTCCTTGGTCGCTTTTGTCGTGCGGAGGGCATCACCCAGACGTTCACCCTACCGGACTCCCCACAGCAGAATGGGGTCGCTGAGCGACGCATCGGCTTGGTCATGGAGGTCGCTCGCACCTCCATGGTCCATGCCGGTGCACCCCATTTTCTGTGGCCGTTCGCTGTGCGCTACGCTTCTCACCAGCTTAACCTGTGGCCGCACCCTCAGCAGCCGCAGGTTTCGCCGACCCGTCTGTGAACTGGGTCTCCTGGTGACGCGTCTGCGTTCCACGTCTGGGGCTGCCTTGCTCACGTCCGTGCCTCCGGCACGGACAAGCTCACTGCCCGCACCCTTCCCTGCGTCTTCCTCGGTTTTCCCCTTGACGCGTCCGACTGGCACTTTTACCACCCGCCGTCTCACCGCTTCTTTCACTCTCGTGACGTCACCTTTGACGAGTCCGTCTCCTACTACCGCCGCTTCCCCCACCGTGGTCCCCCGGTTACCCCCCCCTGTTCCTGGTCACCCCTTCCCCGGTAGTCCCTGCCCCTCCTCCTCCTCCTCCCCGTCCCGCCCCCTCTGGTGTCTCCCATGTCACCCCCCTTCCGTCCGTGGACCCGGTTGAGGAGTCTTCTGACTCTGGTGGCCCTCCGGTGCAGTCCTCGCCGGCCGCCCCTCCCCAGGTGTCCCCTCCCCAGTCCCCTCCTCCGCCGTCCCTGCCGCCACTGCAGCCGTCGCCGTCGCCGCCGCCGCCGCCGCCGCCGCAGTCGCAGCCCCCGTTCGCTGACTCTGGGGGTGCTCGTCCCGGTCGCCCTGAGGGTGGTCCCTCTGGGGGTGCGGGTGTGGAGAGTGCCGGTGGTAGCCGAGGAGCAGCTTGCGGTCCAGGTGTCGCCGTTGTGCCGCCGCAGCAGCAGTCCCCGCCGGTGTCCGCCCTTCGCCTGCTCGGCCTTCCGTCCCCCGA